ATGGGCTGCCTCCCACACAGGCCGACTGGGGCTCGAACCACCAGCTGGGGATGCGCGGGACCTGGAATCCACCCCTCGCGCACAGGACGCACTCACCAGGATGCTCACCCCCCCCCCCCCGCCCCCGGCCGCGGAGGGTGGCGTTAGTGCCCGTTTCCTTTCGGAGTGGTTGTGACCCCCTGCTCACCGTGCCAAGGCTGCACTGGATTGATTTTCCATAATCTCTCTCTTGCTCCACTGGGTTCTTCGACGTGTGGCCCTTCTGTGTTGGAGTCTTTCTGTCCGGATTGCGGCGGCCCCGCCACAGGTCCCGTCCGGGGCGGGCGGTGGGCGCTGAGTGTGCGATGGCGCTGCTGCTGCTGGACCTGGGGGGGCGGTGGTGGGTCTCTACCGCCCTGTGGGGCCGGAGGGGACCAGAGGACGGGACGCCCGTGTGGAAGGCGGGACGCAGGGGCCAGCTGTCTCCTGGGGAGCGTGGGGCAGAGGGGGGCCGAGGGGGCGGGAGGCTGAGGGGGGTGGGGGAGCTCCCGCTCCTCTCGGAGATGAAAGGAAGGAGTGACCCCTGGGAGCTGAGGGCCTCATCTGTGCAGCGCCAGGGTGGGGCCATTTGCATGAATACTGTTTGCGAAGAGCAATTAGCGGCTCATTTACATGCAGCCAAGTTGCCATTTGCACTTTCCCAGCAACGATGTCTTTGATTTCTTCGTCTGGTACACACTTCAGCTGCCCGGCCGCTGCCCTGTGCCGGCTGCCCGGACGCTGCCCTGTGCCGGCTGCCCGGACGCTGCCCTGTGCCGGCTGCCCGGCCACTAACCTGTGCCAGCTGCCCGGCCGCTGCCCTGTGCCGGCTGCCCGGCCGCTGCCCTGTGCCGGCTGCCCGGACGCTGCCCTATGCCGGCTGCCCGGCCGCTGCCCTGTGCCGGCTGCCCGGCCGCTGCCCTGTGCCGGCTGCCCGGCCGCTGCCCTGGCTCTGCTCCTCGTTTCCTGGGACAGGTTTCTCCTCATGAAGGGGAGGGGCCCGCGGGGAGGAGCTCTGCAGGCGCGTGTCCGGTGCGGCTCCCCCTGTGGCCGCTGCCCTGAGAACAGTGAGTGGGCGCCGAGGGGCCGCCCCTGGGGAGCGGGTGCAGGTAGCTAACCAGGCGAGCTCAGGGCGCAGGAGGCACAGCGGCTCAGTGCAGGGCGTGGGGGCTGCGTTCCCCCCTCTCAGCCTTACACCCCTTCCTGGGACACCTGCCCCTCTGGGTGCGGCCCCCCTCCCCCTCCCCCTCCCCAAGGCTCCCCTCCTCACCTGGACAGCTGTTCCCTTCACCTTTTAAAATATCAGTGCACAGCCCGACAGTGGCTCAGTGGATAGAGCGTCGGCCTGCAGACTGAAGGGTCCCAGGTCCGATTCTGGTCAAGGGCAGGTACCTTGGTTGCAGGCTCTTCCCCGGCCTGGGCCCTGGTCTGGGTGCACGCAGGAGGCAGCCAATCGACATGTCTCTCTCACATCGATGTTTCTCTCTGTCTCTCCACCTCCCACTCTCTCTAAAAATCAACGGAAAAATATCCTCAGTTGAGGATTTAAACAAAACACCTTAAAAAAAAATTAATGCCCACCGGTGAGTGACGCCTGCTCACTGGGCAGGGCTGGTGCTCACCCCCGCCGCCCCCCGGGGTCCGGCTGCAGGCGGAAAGGTCTGCCTACACCTGGACCAATGACACGGGACCTTTGTTCCCAGGGCAGGGCAGGTCCAGGCAGGAGCGCAGCCCGCCACCCGCACCCCAGAGCCCACCCGCACCCCAGGGCCCACCCGCACCCCAGAGCCCACCCGCACCGCAGGGCCCACCCGCAGCCCAGGGCCCACCCGCACCCCAGGGCCCACCTCCCCACGACAAAGGGAGAAGACGTGCACTAGTCCACACGGCCTTGCTGGGTTCTCTCTCTTTAATCCTCACTAAGGATATTTTCCCATTGCTTTTTAGGGAGAGTGGGAGAGAGGGAAAGACAGAGAGAAACACATCGATGTGAGAGAAACACACCAACCAGCCGACCAGGGCCCGGGGCGGGGGGTGGGGGGAGAGAGGGAGGACCCTGCTACCAAGGTACGTGCCCTTGACCGGAATCGAACCCGGTACCCTTCAGTCCGCAGGCCGACGCTCTATCCACCGAGCCACACCGGCCAGGGCTGTTTTGGTGAGGGTTAGGCATTCATGTAATGCTGACTTTTAAAAAAGGAATTTTGGAGTTTTCCATCTCTTCTCATAGACTGGAATTATTTCGAGGTCAGGGCCTTCCCTGCCGTTTGAGGGTGAAGGCGAGTCTCGGGGTGGCCTGGACGTTCACGGGTCTCCCCGCTGGGCACTTCCTTCTCAGTGGTCGAGGCGTCTCTTTGTGTCGGCCAAACCCTCAGGTAACGCCCTCAAAATGCTCAGACCCGCCAACCTCTGCGTGATGGACGGACAGACGTCCAGTCCTGCCCGAGGTGGGTCCCCGTCTCCCAGGTGGGTCCCCGTCTCCCAGGTGGGTCCCCTTTGGTCGGGTGGGGCACCCAGCAGTGGTGTCCGCGTGTTTTCCCAAGCGCGGGGCTGCGTCCGTGTCCTCTCTGAAGTGACCGCAGACAGACTGTGCCGTCCACGGGGACGAGCATCAGAGGGGACACGCGGCGCCACGAGGCGGGAAACCCACGTGTACACACCGAGGGGAACTTTGCTCCGCGTGCGATGATAGACTTTTAAAGCCGCTGAGAGTCTCCGTTTTGCAGTGAAGCTGTTACGGCCAAAGGTGATCCTGGGGGCGGGGGGGGGGGGGGTGAAAGGATTGAGAAAAGACAGACAAGAGAATGGAAGCTGGGTCTCGGTGGGACGCTGCTCCCTGATGAGGCGCCGGCGTCCACAGCCGTGTCTTTATTTTATGGCAGATGCCACGAGGCAAAGCAGGGGCGTGATCACGTTGTTCACAGCATTCTCGTGAGTTCCAACCTCACTCAACGACATGCACCCGAACTCTAGCACAAGGCACGTGGGGCCGCGTGTTCGGACCACAGGTTCAAGCTCACAACCACAGCTGTTGGCTATGATGGTGCTGGGAGGGCCCTGCCCTCCAGCTGGGACTTGCACGTGGCCACGAGAGGACCCTGTCCTCTCATTAGTCTGAGGCTTGAACCCGGCCAAAACACTGCAGCCGCGCCCCATATGAAGCTAAACTGGTACAACATCTTTATTTCTTCTTCTTTAAAAAAATATATTTTTATTGATCTCAGAGAGCAAGGGAGAGGGAGAGAGAGATAGAAGCATCAATGATAAGAGAGAATCATGGATCGGCTGCCTCCTGCACCCCCCCCACTGGGGATGGAGCCCACAAGCTGGGCCTGTGCCCTGACTGGGGATTGAGCCGTGGCCTCCTGGTTCGTAGGTCCATGCTCCACCACGGAGCCACGCTGCCCGCTGGGCTTGCACATCTTTGGATACCAGCTGGGCGGCTGCTTCTCTGTTAACCTTCAATGGTGCTACCCCGGGACCCAGCGATTCTCTTCTAAGAAACACCGGCCCCAGTGCCCGAGCGCAGCTGTCGGGAGGTTCACACCGGAGCATCGGGCATAGCAAACGCCGAGACCCCGGGCACCCACTCGGGGAGGACCAGGGAGGCCGACGGGGAGTCACTGCCGTTGGGTGCGCCAGGCAGTCACTAAGGACAACAACCTCGAGTTGGGTGCAGGCAGGGATGACCAGGTCCGCGATGTGCTGTGGATGAAAGGCCCCACCTGTGCGGCGGGAAGCATGCGTGTAAGTGGTGGGTGTGCACGTGTGGCTGGAGAGGTCGATGCCAGGCTGTTCAAAGTGGCCCCCGGGGAGGGGCGGGTGTGGGACGAGGAAGACTTTGCTTGTGATCCCACACATCTGCGTGTGGCTCCATTTAAAAAAGGAGCACGCGTTGCCGGGCAGTAACGCGGAAACCTGGCTCCGCCGCTTGCCGCAGGAACGCTGAGCGTTCAAACCACTCGGCCGTGTCTCTTAGACGGAGCCACGCCGCGGCCTCCTCGCCCTGGGGTTGGGCTCAGTGTGCCTTCGCCTTCAAGGGAATTAGGAAAGGCACCAATCCCATTAACGAATGCGCCAGCAGGCCCGCCGCAAGGCTGTGTGATGGGGTGCGGGCAGCCACTGTTTATCTTACAGATGCCAGCTCCGGCCGGGCGGGTGTCGGCGGTGGAACAGATGTCCCTGCCGAGGGCTCGTGCTGCAGAAGCACAAAGAGCTCGGACCCGCTCCCCCTCCTCCCCTGTGCTCGCCCAGGCCTCCCCGCCCGGCCTCCCCGCGGACGGCCTCTGAGCCATTCCCCCAGTCCCAGCTCCCCTGCTGTTCTCCCTGCTCCATCCTCCCTCTCTCTCTTGTGAATCCTCACCCGAGGGTATTTTTCCACTGATTTTTAAGAGAGAGGGAAAGACAGAGAGAAACATTGATGTGAGAGAAACACATCAATTGGTTGCCTCCTGCACAGGCCCTGACTTGGGCCCGGGCTGGGGTGGAGCCTGCAACCGAGGTTCATGCCCTTGACCAGAATCGAACCGGGGACCCTTCCGTCCACAGGTCGACGCTCTATCCACTGAGCAACACTGTCCAGGGCGTGCCCCATCCTTCTCATTCCCGGACTCCCGCAGAGAATCATGCCCGCGGGACTGCAAACCCCACTCCCACAGGCACTGTGGCACCTTGCACAGCCCCCTCTCCCCCCCGGGATCTCTCTCTCCCAGCCTCCTTTCTTTCCTTCCTTCCTTCCTTCCTTCCTTCCTTCCTTCCTTCCTTCCTTCCTTCCTTCCTTCCTTCCTTCCTCCTCTCTCTCTCTCTCTCTCTCTTTCAAAATTTTTTATTGATTTCAGAGAGGAAGGGAGAGGGAGAGAGAGATAGAAACATCAATGATGAGAGAATCATTGATCGGCTGCCTTCTGCACGCCCCACACTGAGGATGGAGCCTGCAACTCGGGCCTGTGCCCTGACTGGGAATCGAACCCTGACCTCCTGGTTCATAAGCGGACGCTCAACCACTGAGCCAGGCGGCGGGGCCCAGCCTCCTTTCCTTGAGCGGATGGGGAGCTGGAGACACAGCACCAGCGGAGGCGAGGCCACACAGGCTCCCGGGGCCTCTGACGGTTCTGGGTGGCCGACCTACCAATATCCCCCCTGGCCGGTCTCTGCTCCGCACCTCCAGTGGCCCCTTTCCCAGGGGCCTGGGGCACCCTGGTCCCCTGCGCCGCCCGCCCGCCCCGGGAGCTGTCCGTGGTGCTGACCGCAGGCGCGGCCCTTGCTCGGCCGCTGCGCACGCGTCCCGGGCGGGGCGCGCAGGACCCGGCGGCGCCGCCACTGCGCAGCCTCCCGCGCGCCCCGCTCCCGGCTCCCGACTCCTGGCTCCCGGCTCCCACCGGCCGCGCCGCGCCTCGCCATGGCGCTCAACCAGTTCCTGCTGGCGCAGTGCGCCTGCTACCTCTTGGCCTTCCTGTTCAGCTTCGTGGCGGTGGTGCCGCTGGCGGAGAACGGCCACGACTTCCGCGGCCGCTGCCTGCTCTTCACCGAGGGCCTGTGGCTCAGCGCCAACCTGACGGTGCAGGCGCGCGAGCGCTTCACGGTGCAGGAGTGGGGCCCGCCGGCCGCCTGCCGCTTCGGCCTGCTCGCCGGCCTCCTCTCGCTGCTGCTCGCCGCCGCGCTCGCCTGGCGCGCGCTCTTCTTCCTCTGCAAGGGCCACGAGGGGTGAGTGGGGGACGCGGCCCTCGCTCCGCGGCGCCCCTCCCGAGCCCACAGCGCTCCCCTCCCCGGGCGCTCGGAGGCCCGACCACGTCCGCGCTGGACCCTCAGCGCTTCCACGCGAACGGCCCTTTGTCTACACGCAGAGCCAGGGCCGCGGCGCTCACGCATCCTCCTCGGGAGCCAGTGCGCCCCTCCGCGGAGGTGCCTCACCTGCCGCTTCCGGGCCTTTACCCCCCCCACCCCCTCCCCGCTGTAGGTGTAGCACCGTCATCCCTGGGCCTTCCGCGCTGGGTCAGCCAGGGCGCACCCGTCAGCACCGCGGGCAGCGCCACGCCCTGGTCTGGGGCCTGCGCTCTGGGACCAGGCCAGGCGCTGTGACACTGGCCACTTGGGAGCCCTCCCCTCATCCCCTTTGTCCTGGGAAGGCGGCTGGTGGAGGGGGTCTGGAAGGAACCCCTGGAGGCCTTGGTGGGGGTGCGAGGGTCCTGCTTTGTCTCCACAAGCCTCCCTGTCTCCCCACCTCCAGCCTCCCTGCCTCCCCACCTCCAGCCTCCCTGCCTCCCCACCTCCAGACTCCCTCCCTCCTTCTCCCCACCTCCTGCGTCCTCCTCCCCACCTCCAGCCTCCTCCTCCCCACCTCCTGCCTCCTCCTCCCTGCCTCCAGCCTCCCTGCCTCCTCCTCCCCAATTCCAGCCTCCCTTACTCCCCACCTCCTGCCTCCTACTCCCCAACTCCAGCCTCCCTGCCTCCTCCTTGCCGCCTCCTGCTGGGCACTATGCTGGAATCAGGTGGGATACAGTTCCCCTGGGGTGGGGGAGACAGCTGGAGGAGGGGTGAAATCCTAGCAGCCCCCATCTGGTTCCCGGGGCTGCCGGGACAAAGGCCACCCGCTCTTACAGTCCTGAGGCCGGGAGTCCACAGTCGAGGGGTCAAGGCCAGCTCCCTTGGACGGAGACCCCGCCCCCGCCCCACGCGTTCTAGCTCTGGTGACTGGTCCTCACCTAGGGCTGCTCACTCCAGGCCCCGGGTCTGTCTGCACATGGCCTCCCTCTCTGTCGATCATAGTCTCATAGCGACGCCCCTCCCTGGGCTCAGAGACCCCCTAAACCCAGGAGGCCACCATTAGGAGATGTTTGGCTTAATGACAGCCACAGGGCCCTATTTCCAAATAAGGTCGCATTCATAGGTGCCGGGGTGAGGACTGGACACATGTTGCTGGGGACACGGTTCAGCCCTCGACATGAAGGTTCTGGATTTGGGGTGTGCAGGGAGTCACACGTCAACCTGGGGAGGCCTTCAGGGGCTGTGGGGCTGGGGCTCGGCCCAGGGTGAGCCCAGGCCAGTCCCTGGGGGGTGTCCTGCCCTGAGGACACGTTTGAGACGTCACCTGCACCTTCACCGCCAGGCTCAGGTGTCACCCAGGTGGGGTCCTCCTTGGTGGGGCAGGGAAGCGTCTCTGAGTATGAGCTGGGGTCTGAGGAGGCTGGGGCGGTCAGCAGGGTGGGCGGGTTGAGGCCCCTTCAGTGTGAAGCTGAGGGCAGTGGGCACAGGCCGTGTGGGGGCCACAGCTTGGCCCTCAGCTCATGCCCATCATGCCAGCTTGTCCCCACAGGACGCATGGCCTCAGGCATTCAGGGTCCAGTTGATGAGGACACAGCAGCTGTCCAGGGCGCCTGGCCGTGCGGCTCAGAGTGAGGGGATTCAGAGCCGGCACCGGCCTCCAGGGCCTGGGGCAGGCGGGGAGCGAGGAGCCCGGTGGACAGGAGTCCAGGTCACGGGGGGCTGCCCTCCTCACGTAAACTGGCAGCAAACCTGGGGGATTTAGAACGTCAGCTCCGTCCTTGCCATCTTTTTTTTTTAAAGATTTTTCTTCTTTTTAAAAATTTTTTTATTGATCTCAGAGAGGAAGGGAGAGGGAGAGAGAGAGAAACATCAATGATGAGAGAGAATCATGGATCGGCTGCCTCTTGCACGCCCCACACTGGCGATCAAGCCCACAACCCGGGCCTGTGTCCTGACTGGGAATGAACCGTGACCTCCTGGTTCATAGGCCGACGCTCAACCCCTGAGCCACTCTGGCCGGGCCGTCCTCGTCACCTTATACAAAGGGGCCGGTTGGCTCTGTGCAGCCGTCATCCCCACCCCCGTGATAAAGGCGGAAAGCTGGGGCCTGTGCCCCCCGCGCTCTGTCGCTGCGCTCATCGGCCCAGGCCCCGGGCGCTGGTCCTCCGGGATGTGGCCTGGGCGGAGGAACATTCCGGGTCTTGCGCCCCTTTGTGTCAGTCCTGGGGGCCCTCCTGTCCCACCAGCGACCTCCATCCCGGCCTCGAGTGTGGCAGCGAAGGCTGGGCTGCTCTCTTCTCCAGAGACGTCTGTGCGGAGTCCTCCTCGGCCGCAGGAGTTGCTGCCCAAGGTCCCGTGCCCGTGCGGCTGCCTGCCCGCTGTTGCCCACACGGCCCAGTCGGCAGGCAGTGAGTCGCGTGGCTTCGGCGCCACGTGCCAGCTCCCCCTCTTAGTTCCGGGTGTGGACCCGGTCGGGGCTCTCCTGGCGTCCAGGTGCGGCCGTCCCTCTGAGGGGCCTGGGCTGGGCCGACCCCAGGGGGCGTGCACCTTGCTCATCTCCGTGTGCTCCGGGCACAGGGAGTCACCGAGTTAGTGTCTGTCAAGTGAACGACAGAGCTGCCTGCGTCTGAGACCTGCTGCTTCCCGCCACACACCAGCCCCATGTCGCCCCAGACTCACAGACCGGCTTGGGCCAAGCCTCCAGGCTTGCTGTGTGCACGAGCCCTGGGCCCCCGGGAAGGGGGTCGGCTTCGTCCAGCCACAGGCAAGATGGTCAACCAGAGAAGCCAGTTCCTGCCACGCGGCTGGTTAGTCTACGTCAGTGGTCGGCAAACTGCGGCTCGCGAGCCACATGCGGCTCTTTGGCCCCTTGAGTGTGGCCACGAAGTTTCAATCGCACTGTACATGCGTGCCCACATGTGGTATTTTGTGGAAGAGCCACACTCAAGGGGCCGCAGTTTGCCGACCACTGGTCTACGATTGACCAGGCGGGCAAAGCTGGGCCAGCAGGGAGCACGGGAGAGCCAGGCGGCCGGAGGGGCCGTCAGAGTGAGCTCATGGGATGGATACGGCTCTCGGGGCCATCGGCAGCCTTCATGTCTGGCCCCAAAGCACCACTGCCCACCACACTCGGGTCTGAGGGGCCCACGTGCTCAGGGTCAGTGCACACACGATTCTCCGGAGGCCAACCTCACAGACGACCCGGGGCCCCCACCGAGACCAGGGCAGAGCCCACCCTCTGGGCCGAGTGCTGGGCTCCTGGCCGGGCCCTGAGCTTGTGGGGCAGGCGGTGTCCATGGTGCCAGCCACCACCTCATGTGGGGTGTATCCGTGCAGAGCGGGGGCCTGGCAGCTCATGCCCAGGGCCGAAGGGGCAGCTTTCTGCACGGGGCACCCTGGCTGTGACTGGAGGAATCGGCGTGTGGATCTGGCACCTGTGGCTTCTGGGGCTCTGTGCTGTTCTGGGGCAGATGGATGGGCCAAGGGAGGGGGGCGGCCAGGGGGCCTGGGCAGCTTTGCTGAGCGGAGCCCTGAGAGCGTCCAGGTGGCAGTGGCTTGTGATTGACGGCTGGGGAGCACCGGGTTAAAACGACCCATCTGCCTGCCAGGGCCTCCCAGGGCTTCCCGGGATGCTGTCACCATGGAGACGGCACATCCAGGCAGGGCACCCGGAGAGGCTTCGGGAGAAAGACGGCGTTAACCCTGTGTGTGCAGCGTCCGTCCCAACCGCTGCCCTGGCCATCGGTGCCGTGACAGCATCCTGGGGAGGGGGCCGTGTCCGGGGGCATCCTGGGAGGCCCTTGCCCATCGGGCAGTGCCAGTGGCCCTGAGCGAGACCCGCCCTCAGGGCCCTGCCTCCTGGGTCTCCCGCCCACCTGGGCACAGCTCAGCCTTTAGGTTTCAGTGGAGAGGGCAGAGCAGGGCCCTGGGCACACCCCCGACATGGGCCCCGACTGCCTGCACTGGGGGCCACGCGGGTCACGGCCTGGAAGGGTGTCCCGTCTTCCCAGTGCCTGTGCTGCTGGTCCACGTGGCCTGGGGCTGAGGTCTGGCCTGCCCTTCTGGGAGACGGGGTGACCAAGGTTCCCAGGCCTGGGTCGCTGGGCAGACAGCGTGGGCCGCCCGGGGCCAGCACCAGGGCCTGTTGCTGAGGGAGGAGGCCCCTGGCAACCCCCACTCGGCCCAGCTGGAAACCTGAGGGTGGGGGTGCCCTCCCACTGGCCGCCCGATGGCGGTGGGCGGAACCTCGGGGTGCAGTGACCCCCGTCCCGTCCCTCCTGCAGCTCCTTCCTCTACGCCTTCCTGAACCTGCTGGTCAGCGCCTTCATCGTCTTCCTCGTCTTCATCGCCAGCACCATCGTGAGCGTGGGCTTCACCATGTGGTGCGACGCCGTCACCGAGAAGGGCTCGGTGCCCCACAGGTGCGCCCGCCGCCTGCGCCCACGGCTGTGCTCATCCCCGCGCCGCACCTGCACGCACCTGCCCCCCCTTCTCAGGACCGGCCCCTGGAGGTCCCTGCCCCTCCCGGAGGGAGCCTGCAGCTTCACTCGGAGCAGGACCCCCACCTGGGGCGGCTCTGAGCTTCCCGCTGGCGTGTGGGTGGGTGACCGACCGGACGGGTGGGCTCCAGGTCCGGCAGCGGGGTGTGTCCACGCAGCCGAGGGGCAGGCCCGGCGGGTGTGGTCATCGGGGCTCTCTCTTCCCTCACAAACACCAATTCCAGCCCTTCTCCCCAGCCCCTCCAGGGCGAGCCTAGGCCTCTGGCCTCCCTCTCTCGGGGCTTCTCGCTCCGGTTCACTGTCCTGACATCTCAGGAGGCCCCGGGCCCTGGAGGCCCCGCCTGGCTCACCCCGTTCCCTGAGGCCAAGCCCGGCCCCGCTGCCCACCATGGGTGTGTGGCCGTCACAGGCCTGTGGTGGATCCCGCTGGTCCCGCGTTGGCAGGCAGTGGGGCAGGGACAGTCTTCCTGACCACAGAGGCTGGCGTGGTGTCCCCCACCGTCCAGGGCCAGGCGGGGGCGGCCTGCAGGTCTCGGCTGCAGAGGAGGCATTAGGTCCCTGTGGGCCCCCCTCCCCCGCGCTGAGGACAGCCCCTGCCCCTCGGCTGCTGCAGCTGCGTTCTGGGCTCAGTGGCCTGGAGTCACGCCCCCCGTGTGCTGCCATTTCAGCTGTGAGGAGCTCCAGGACATCGACTTGGAGCTGAACCTGGACAACTCTGCCTTCTATGACCAGTTTGCCATTGCCCAGGTGGGCGGGGCTTCCAGGCGGGCGGGGCTCCCCACAGACCGGGCCTCCGGTGGGCGGAGCGTCCAGATGGGCGGGCGGGGCTTCCAGGCAGGCGGGGCTCCCCACAGACAGGGCTCCCCACAGACAGGGCCTCTGGTGGGCGGGGCTTCCAGGCAGGCGGGGCTCCCCACAGACCGGGCCTCCGGTGGGCGGAGCTTCCAGATGGGCGGGCGGGGCTTCCAGGCAGGCGGGGCTCCCCACAGACAGGGCTCCCCACAGACAGGGCCTCTGGTGGGCGGGGCTTCCAGGCGGGCGGGGCTCCCCACAGACAGGGCTCCCCACAGACCGGGCCTCCGGTGGGCGGAGCGTCCAGATGGGCGGGCGGGGCTTCCAGGCAGGCAGGGCCTCCGGTGGGCGGGGCTCCCCACAGACAGGGCTCCCCACAGACAGGGCCTCTGGTGGGCGGGGCTTCCAGGCGGGCGGGGCTCCCCACAGACAGGGCCTCCAGTGGGCGGGGCCTCTGGGTGGGTGGGGCTTCTGGGTAGGCGGGGCTTCTAGGCAGAATGGGAGGCCAGCCCTGCCCACCTGGAGGCCGTGGTGGATTCTGGGGTATTTGCTGGAAGCCAGGCATGTGGGGACAGGGTGGTGGTCAGTGATGGCCTGTCCCTCACTATGTGCATCCATCCCAGCGGAGGACACTGAGGACCCTGATGAGGGCCGCCAGGTGGGGGCGGCTCCTTCTAGCCCGAGCAGGGCTCCCCAGCATCCGGGTCCCCTTCGGACCCAGGCTGGCCGCGCAGGCCGGGCGACCTGAGGACTCTCTCGGGGGAGGCCCGGGGGTCTGGGCATCGGAGGGTGAAGGTTCTTTGCCGAGAGGAGGGGACCCCGCGGGGATGCTTTCCAAGGCACCTAGAGGGAGGGCTTCAGCCCCAGTTCCCGGCGAGTAGATTGGGGGGTCCTGATGGCAGACCCCTCGAGTGGGGTCCCGGGACACGCCCAGGCCCGGCCGAGTCCGCGGCTCCTCTTTCAACGGCCTGGGCACAGCAGAGGAAGGTGTTTGCTGTGGCAACTGCAGAGGCTTCGTGAGGGACGGCTGTCCTGGGGCTGGGCGGCCGCGTCCGGGAGGAGCCCGGCTGCCCGGCCACTGCCCGCCTGAGGGGCCGGGGCGCCAGCCTGGGGTGAGGGCGGTTCCCTAAGCGCCCGCCCCGCGTGGGCTGGAGAGTGATGGTCGTGGGGAAGGAAGCAAAAGGCCGCAACCCAGCTTGTCCCTGTCCTCACCCCGAAGTGTCCCTGTGCCCTCCCAGCAGGTCCGTCCTTCTCCCAGGGGCTCGGGGCGGGGTGCCAGCGCGGTGGGGGCCGGCCCCTGACGCTGGCCTCCGGCTCTGCAGTTCGGCCTCTGGGCCTCGTGGCTGGCCTGGCTGGCCATCACCGTCCTGGCCTTCGTCAAAGTCTACCACAACTACCGCCAGCAGGACCTGCTGGACAGCCTGGTCCACGAGAAGGAGCTGCTGCTGGCCCGGCCGGGCGCGCGCACCCCGGCGCAGGAGGAGAAGAGCGCCGTCATCTAGGCTGGGGGGGGGGGGGCGGGGGGAGCGGCGCCCCCATGGCCTGGGGCGCTCGCCCGGGGTCTGCCTGGGCCCCACCCCGCCGTGCAGCCTTGCATGTCTCCCCTCGGCACCGTGCGTCTGAGCGACCCTGCTCACCCAGCGCCCCGACTCCCACCGACTGTGACTGGGTGGGGGGCAGCACAGAGGGCCGGGGCTTCGAGGACCTGCCCAGTGAGACCTGGCTGGCGAGGCCGGGGGAGCGCCCACCTTCTCAGACCCCTGACCCTCAGGTCCAGGCCCTGTCCCCACCCCCGCAGAGGTGTGACTGCTTGCTTCGTGGCAGCCCCAGAGCGACCCCACCAGCCCTGACGCCCACAGGACACCCTTGCCAACGGCTCCTGAGAGGTGTGGGGGACAAGCACCCAGTGACCTGGAGCTGGGCGAGTGCAGGAAGGAGCTCACATGTGGCCCCACCTTCTGACCCCCGGCGGCCCGCCCAGGGCTGTCCTTTGTTCCTGCTCCAGGGCCCCTGGGTGTCCAGGCCTGGTCTCGGCTTTGAAAGTGCAGGGACAGGCGTGTTGGCCTGGACTCAGGTGATGGCCTGGGGGTGGCCGCTGTGCCGGGTTGGGGGTGGGGAGCCCCTGTGGCTGGGCCCCAGCATTTGCCTCACTGTGTGTGGGCTGGGCCTGTGCTGGAGGAGGGAGGGGCCAGGTGCCGCTGCACATGTCTGCGTGTGCATGTGAGGCTGTGCATGTATGTGATATTAGTGCACATATGACATGAGTGTGTGCACATAAGAGTGTGCGCGTATGAGAGTGCCATACACTGCTGTGTGTGTGCAGTGTGAGTGCATGCGAGTAAGCATTGAACATGTACAAGTGTGTGTGCACGTGAGTGTGCATGTGCACAGTGTGTGCAGTGCAAGTGCGTGTGAGTGTGCACAGTGTGTGTGAGCCTGCGTGTGCACAGTATGTGTGTGTGTGAGTGTGCACATATGCGTGTGTGTGTGCACGTGTGAGCATGCACGGGACGGGGGGGCCAAGACCAGAGCAGGTGTGGACGAGCGGTGCGCTGGGCAGCTCCCTGCATCTCCATCCACCGGGGAGCCCGGTGCCCCTGCAGGAGGGGGGGATGGGGGGCGGGGGGCTGCCTTCCTATCCGAGGCGCCGCCCCCGAGGACACGGCACCGCCCACACAGCGCAGGTGGAGCAACTGCTCCAGGGGCTTCCCGCCTTCCACCCTCCTCCGTGTCCGGCCCAGGAGGGCACCCGGGGTAAGAGCACCCATTCCGGGCTCCAAGCACCGTCAGCTTCCTCAGCTGCCCCCGAGCTGCTAAGCTTGCTTCGCTGCTGCCCCCTCCCCGGAAGCAAGACCCGCTCCCCACTCCTGCCCTCGCTGCCGGTGACGGACTGTTTCCCATTCGAGGGGCCCGGGGCCTGCAGAGCCGTGGGCCTGGGCCTGGGTCAGGGGCCGGAGAGGGTGCGGTGCAGACTGGGCTGGGGAAGTGCCTGCCGGCCACCTGCCCTGATGCTGCTGTGCTGGCTGGTGTCCCGGGGAGGCGGGGCCCGGTGAGGAGGGTCCCGGGGAGGCGGGGCCAGGTGAGGAGGGTCCCGGGGAGGCGGGGCCAGGTGAGGAGGGTCCCGGGGAGGCGGGGCCAGGAGGTGAGGGTCCCGGGGAGGCGGGGCCAGGAGGTGAGGGTCCCGGGGAGGCGGGGCCAGGTGAGGAGGGTCCCGGGGAGGCGGGGCCAGGTGAGGAGGGTCCCGGGGAGGCGGGGCCAGGTGAGGAGGGTCCCGGGGAGGCGGGGCCAGGTGAGGAGGGTCCCGGGGAGGCGGGGCCAGGTGAGGAGGGTCCCGGGGAGGCGGGGCCAGGAGGTGAGGGTCCCGGGGAGGCGGGGCCAGGTGAGGAGGGTCCCGGGGAGGCGGGGCCAGGTGAGGAGGGTCCCGGGGAGGCGGGGCCAGGTGAGGAGGGTCCCGGGGAGGCGGGGCCAGGAGGTGAGGGTCCCGGGGAGGCGGGGCCAGGTGAGGAGGGTCCCGGGGAGGCGGGGCCAGGTGAGGAGGGTCCCGGGGAGGCGGGGCCAGGTGAGGAGGGTCCCGGGGAGGCGGGGCCAGGAGGTGAGGGTCCCGGGGAGGCGGGGCCAGGTGAGGAGGGTCCCGGGGAGGCGGGGCCAGGAGGTGAGGGTCCCGGGGAGGCGGGGCCAGGTGAGGAGGGTCCCGGGGAGGCGGGGCCAGGAGGTGAGGGTCCCGGGGAGGCGGGGCCAGGTGAGGAGGGTCCCGGGGAGGCGGGGCCAGGTGAGGAGGGACCCGGGAGGGCGGGGCCAGGTGAGGAGGGTCCCGGGGGCAGAGCCCGCTTGGGTTCCAGGCGGAGCAGCGGGACTGGGAGAGGGTTTGGGCAGAACCTGAGAACTCCGAGCGGATCTCTGGCCCCGGCCCAGCCTGGCAGCCCTAGTGCGCGGCCATGGGGGCCCTTCCCCGCCCCTGCGGCCCCGCGTCTGTCCCCGGCAGAGGGCGGGGGGGTCTGCCCGCACCCTATCCAGGCAGCGGCCAGCTGGGCGGGAAGGGGGAACCCAAGGGGCCGCCCAGGCTTCGGGGAGCCCTGTGGGTCCTGGAGCTGGTCTGGGCGGCCCCTCGATCGGCCCGCAGAGCCCGGCGTCCACTCCCTGCAGGTCCCGTCTCCGCCGGCTGCACCCGGCGCCTCCCGGAAGGGGCGCTGGCCCGGAGCGGGGCCTGGACAGGAGCGGTGCCCCCGCCTCGGGCAGGGAAGGGCAGGTGGGTCCCGGGGCTCCGACGGGGGGGGGGGGGCACCCATCGCTTCTCCCTGCTGTTTGATAACGGATTCCGTGTTTTAATTCTACTTCTGGCTAAACTCGGAAGTAAAGGCTCTTCAACTTAAATGTGTTTATTTCTCAAAGTCACAATAAAAACAAATCCCGGCCCCTCCGGTGTGGGTGGGTTTCGGCCGTGTGAGTGTCTCTCCCCTCGCCCCGCCCCGGCTGCACCCTCCCCGCGGCTCCCTCCCTGCGCCCAGCGGGCTTCCCCGGGGAGCTGGACGGGTGTCCGTGTCTCCGGCTGACCGTGTCCACCGTGGGCAGTTTTGTCCTAACGACAGGGTCACCGTCCGTGGCCGGCAGAGCCAGCCGGTCCGTCTGCGGCGCCGCGGTGACCAGGCCTCGGGGAGAGGACCGGCCTGCTCCCTCCTGCAGTGCGGCCCCAGCGGGAGGCCACGGGCCTCAGTTCCTCATCTGGAAAACGGGCCACAATCTGTCCCTCCTCTTCCGGGGGCAGTGAGGCGAGTGACGTCCTGGGGGCTGGGCGGGTGCGCGGTCAGGGGCCTATGATGCTGAGGGTCCCCAAGGACCAGGCCGGGGTCACCGCTGGGCCAAGGCCCCTCTCTGCTGGCCTCCCAGTGTCCCCACCTCGGCCTGAGCCCTGACGGGGGTTCTATGGCCGGCGGGTCCCCGTGTCCCCTCTGGGTGAGCTGCAGGGGACAGGGCCACGGAGCGTTCTAATAGCCAGTGTCCCCGCGTACGAGGTGGGGACAGATGCTTTCAGGGTGACCCCCATCCGTCTGCAGGCTTTCCCGGCGGCTCCGCCTGTCCCTCCTGGTGTCTGACCGCAGGCCGCGCTGCTGTGCTCCGGCCTCCCCACTCCAGGCAGGTCCGAGGGTCCTGGAGCTTGTCACCGAGTGGCTCCCCTCGGTCTGCCGTCCACAAACGTCCTGGGCCCCATGGGCCCCGCGCTGGTGTGGGACGTGCCTGAGGCTGTGGGGGTCCTGGCCTGTGGCGCCCCCAGCCCCACCCCAGGCGGCGATGGCCGGGCGGGAGCGGAGGACACGCTCCCCTGGGGCCTGGAGGAGCCCAGGCTGGGCCCAGGGCAGGGTCTGATCTGGGCGCCCCCACCCCATGCGGCTTCAGTGGGGGCCTGCGAGGGACTTGGGGAGGGGCTGCTGCACCCCCACCATGGACCCACCTCTCCTGAGGGTTTCCAGGTCCCGGCCCCTAGGCCCTAAGAGGCTACAGGCCGCTCCCCTTCTCCAGGGACCCCAGGTACAGGGCAGGGTCCCTGCCTCCAGGAGCCACACCCAGCCCATCCAGGGACGAGGGAGGGGCGAGGGGGCCAGCCCGGGGCTGGGGTGTGGTCCCGATTTTAGTGGTGGGTCCTTTCCTAACAGCTCCCAGTGGACCCCGGGCTGTGACCCAGGAGGGGCCGTGCTGACTCCAGCCCTGGGGGCCCCGCCTGCCGCCCCCTTTGTCCCAGGCTCACCTTCGCTGCTCCGCCCCCTCCGTGGGCCTCTGCGGGCTGCGCAGGCGTTAGAGCTGCAGGAGGCAGTGCCAGCCGGTGAGGAGCAGCTGCCGCAGGCGCAGGGCGAGGGCGAGCAGCCGGGCCCGCAGGTCCTGCAGGGCCAGCGCCAGGGGCTTGGTCCGGCCGCAGTACAGGCCCAGCAGCAGCACCAGCAGTGCACACAGGCCCAGCCGCAGGAGCAGGGAGCCGCCGCGGGGCCGGGGCCGGGGCCGGCGGGGCGCTGGGGGTGAGGGAGGTGCTGTGAGCCCCTTCACCATCCCCCAAACCCCAGGATCCAGGACTCCATCCTCCCTGGGGGCTGGCGGGAGGCGCAGAGGGGGCGGGGCTGGCACCCTGGCTGCCCATGGGGTGGGGTCCTGTGGGTGTGGAGGCCTCATCCCTGCCCGGCCTCTGGGGGGATGTCCCAGGGTGGCCTGGGGCTGGGGCTGCACTAGTCACTGGGTAGGGGGTGCTGGGGACCCCTGGGAGGGGAGGGGGTCAGAACTCACCCTTGGTGGCGGGCACGTGCTCCCTGCCGGCGATGTCTGGGGAGGAGAGCTGAGGGTGGGCCGGGGCAGGAGGCACCCAGGGCTTCCGGTCTCACTCTGCCCACCCAGAGGACCCAGGTGCCCATCACCCCCCGCCCCCCCCCCCCCCCCCGGCCAGTCTGCCCGGCACCACCGGCTCTGCCCTGCCTCCCCGCTCCCAGTTCGGGCCAGAATGCGGGGCCCCAGGACGCTGGGTGCTGCTCTCAGGGCCTGTGGAGTTGGGGTGTGGTGACCCGCAGGCAGCCTGGGCCCCGGGCAGCGGAGGTGGGCACCTGGGGAGGGACCCCCACCCGGTCCCACCCACTCGGGCCCAGACCTCGGCCTGTCTGGGCCTGGTTCCCTATCTGGGGTCTCTGCTTCCGCTTTTTATGCACAACTTGGCGGAACCCAGGAAGCCCTTCCTGGGGGGCTGTGGTGGGCAGGAGCTAAGGTGTCCCCATGATTCTCACCCCCGGGGCCCTTGCCTTCATGGGGTCCCCTCCACTCAGGGGAGGGGCTGCCACTCAGTTCTCACCAACAGAGTGAGTCAGAGGGGAAGGGGTCCTGCAGGTGCCGGGCCCCAGGCGGCACTGAGCCAATCCAGAGGGATTGTGCCGGGCGGCCAGGCCCAATCGGGGAGAGCGTTAGAGAAGGTCGGGCGGTCGGAGCTCAGGCAGCTGTAAGTTCCGTAGCTGCACACAACCCCGTGGGCCTGGGACAGACCCTGAGCTCAGAGGAGACCAGTCCGACACGGCCGTGAGGCCCTGAGCAGAGGCCCCCCAGGAGCCCCGGCCACTCGCCCCGCGCCCCCTTACAGTGGACGGCCACCTCCAAGGGCTCCTGGAACCGCACGTGCCTCGAGGCCCTCTGTGGCTCCGCCCGGCGGCCTCGGCCCTCCGGCGAGCTTCGTCTCAGGATGGAGGGGGGGCACTTCCTGTCACCCTCCTGGGAGAGGCAGGAAGCAGAGGGAAGAGGCAGTAATGGGGTCCCGCCCCCCTCCCCAGCCTCGGCAGGCTGGAGACGGCTGTTCTGCCAGGTTCCCTGCAGCTCCTCTGGGTTTATACAGCCAGACCCGCCGTGGGGACCAGATGGGGCATGGTCCCTGGACCTGTGTCCCCCCCCCACCCCCCGCTGTATGCCCGCTCAGGATCAGATGGTGTTGGCCTGCCATAGGTGTGGTCCGTGACCGCGAAGGGCCGCCTCTCCTGCCCAGGCTCTGTCCCCACCAACCCCCACGAATCCTCGCCGTTCCTACGTGTCAATAATAATGGCAACAATGACGGTGAGGACGGCAGCCACTGGCACCCACGGGTGCCGTCTTCCTGCCCCAGCTGCCCCCACCGACCCGCTGATCCTGGAGCCCTCTGCCCCGGGGTGGGGATGGGGGTGGGGGTGTCTCTGCCCCGGGCGGGGGCGGGAGGGGGGGTCCTCTGCCCCGGCACCAGGGAGGAGGCAGGGCCCAAGCCCGCCCTGTCCCAGCTCAGTGCCCTGGGTCACATGCTGGGCCCGTGTCGCTGCCCCCAGGGCCAGGTGAGGGATGTGAGCACAGGCCTCCGGCCAGGGCCTGCCGCCCGCACGCTCAGTGTGGCTTTGGAAGGTGGAGTGGCAGTGACCAGGCCACCCGAGCCTGTGTTCTCGTCGGTAAAATGGTGACAACAGGCTGTTTGGAGTGTGAACACCCTGTGAGCTGGGGCCACAGCTGAGACGGCACCCGGCGGGGGGCCTCCGGCCGCACGGAGCCTGCTGCTGGCCTTCGGGGGGTGTTCATCTCACGTGGGCGCAAGACCCACCGTCCTGGGTGTGGCCCAGCTCACGGTTGTGCCCTCTCTTGCCTGGGACTTCCGTGCCTACAGCCGGCCCGGCCTGGCCGTGAGCTGGGCGGCTGGACCAGGACTCGTCCCCGCTGTCTGTCCAAGTGCCCCCGTCCTTACTCCTTGTCCCAGGCCGAGACCTGTCCCAGCTGCCTCCTGACGGCCTCTCTGGTCCTCCTGTCCCCGCCATCTGTCCCCCTGCCAGGGTGAGCTTGCCAGAGAGGCACCTGACCGGTTGCTGCCCGGCTCCAGAGCCTCCACGGCCCCTGCTTCCTCTCACCCCACCCCTGCCTCTCCATCCCTCTGGCTTCCTCTGTCCGCTCTCACCCCCACCCTCGCATGCTGCAGCCTTGCCCGTGGCCCAGGATGGGCACGTGCACCTTGGTCCCGCTGTGCCCTGCCCTGGGGCCTGCCACCCTCTCTGCCAGACCTAACCTCCAACGTGTCCTCCCTGGGCCCACCCATCGCCCCTCAATGTCCCTTCCCCGGCGGCCCTGGGCGGGGACCACGTCCCTCGGACCGCCTTACCTTCCCCGCCCTGGGCACCAAGGAGCCTGGAGCGGCCGCCACATTCTTTCTGGTCTGATGTCGCGCCTCTGGCCGGGAGTCGGGGCTCAAGGCTTGTGCTGCCGTCCTCATTTACTGTGACATGGTCCTAAGAGAGGCAAAGACACCACGTACTGCACCAGCAGCACGAGCGGGAATAAAGCAAAAGGAAGAGAAACACCCCAGGAAGCCACCTCGCTTCCCGATGCCCAGGTGTTGATTATCAGCTTCAGTGGCTGCCGCTACTCCAGGGCTGTGCTACTCCAGGGCTGGGTGCTACTCCAGGGCTGGGTGCTACTCCAAAATTGTGCTACTCCAGGGCTGGGTGCTACTCCAGGGCTGGGTGCTACTCCAGGACTGGGTGCTACTTCAGGGTTGTGGCTACTCCAGGACTGGGTGCTACTCCAGGGTTGTAGCTACTCCAGGGCTGGGTGCTACTCCAGGACTGGGTGCTACTCCAGGGCTGGGTGCTACTCCAGGACTGGGTGCTACTCCAGGACTGGGTGCTACTCCAGGGTTGTGGCTACTCCAGGGCTGCTACCCACTCACAGCCCCACTCCATCATCCGTACTCAGGAAGTTCACGTTTTATTTTTGTCAGTTTTTCGAGGTCACAGATAAGCTGCAGTAAACACCTGCTGCCTCCTTTCATGGGGAGGCTCCCTGCTCATGCCCTCGGTGTGACCTGGCACCCGCCGTCATCTGTGACCCCTGGTTGTGCGAGGCTCCTGTGCACCCCTTTCTCTCCCCTGGCCCCTCTGGGGTGAGTTTCCTTCCACACCCTTTGAAGGGTCCTTGATGTTGGGACCTCGCCAGTCCTGCTCGGTGCAGACCCCACTGGGCCTCCGCAGGGGTAGGAAGCCAGGCGCTGACTGTCAGTCCTTTGGGTGCCTGGCTGGGGGCGGGGGCCCACACACCCATTTCACAGGTGGGTAAATCAAGGCCAGAGGCAGCTGGGGCCGCCCCACAGGGAACGGGCTGCCTCTGGGGGTGAGCGGGAGATGCAGGGAGGGGCTGAGGTTGGGGGAGAGCGTGTGACTCGGGCCTCCAGCGATCTTCCCGGGGAGACAGCAGCGGCTGCAACGTGGAGCCCCCGGCAGGAGCCCCACAGTGCAGAGGGCCCATGAATGATGTCTGTGCGACCCGCCCAGACGGACGCAATTATTTCAAAAGGAAACAATTTTCTCCTGTCGCAGCCTCAGGGGTTTTATTGCAAATGGGGTCGTGGCGGAGCCACCAGCGGGGGAGGAGGTGGAGGGAGGCCACTGGGCAGCAGGACCTGCTCTCGCAGCGGGAGGCCTACGGGCCGAGCGGCTCAGCAGCGGGGCTCCCCCTGGGGGACCTTCCAGGTGAGGCCACAGGCGTGGAGACGCGGGGACTCCCAGCCTCGGGGGCCAGACCCTCGGGGGCACTGCCGGCAGCGCCCAGACGTGGAGCCCTACTGTGCGCACAGCCTCCTGGGCTCCCGGGTCCGCCCCAGGGATGGTGGGCCAGCCACGTGGGCCAGCCACGTGAGCGTGTGCACAGGTGTGAGCACGTGCGTGTTTGTGCACGTGTGTGATGTGCACAGGGGATCAGTCAATGGGGCGCCTGCTCTGGGCCTCAGTTTCCCCACTGGTGCTCTCAGCACTGCCTCCTGCCTGCCCCCCCCCCCACCCCCGCAGGCCTCTGCTTGCCTGGGCCCCTGGCAGGGACCGTGTAACAGGAGTGCCCTCTGCTCTGGGCCAGCTCGTGACCGATGGGTGATAACGGGTGGAAAATAGCTCCAGGGCGGGAGGCCTGCGGAGTGTCACCCCTGCACCCGCCCGGCCTGGCCCGGGGAGGCCTCCCCCCTCCTAGGCACCCCTCACCTCTGGGTGGACAGGGAGCTCCGGCTCCTGACCCCCCCAGGAGCAGAGGTCTGGCTGGGCCAAGCGTCCGCATCCCCTGGGGTGTGGCCTAGTGCCCCCCATGGGCTCGAAGCCTCGGGCGACCACGGTGCAGCCGCAGGCCCAGCAGCCCACTGGCTCTTCCCAGCCCAGCCCTGCACCAGCCGGCGCTCCCACCAGCCCCCGGGGCGGCGCGAGGAGGTGGGGCCTCTCACCTGGTGCAGCTGCCACCTCTCCTGCCTCCACCCCAGCCCATCGCTCTGTGACGCCACCCACTGGGCTTCCTCCTCCTCTCGGGCAGACGGTCATCTTTGTGCCCCCAGCCCACGTGCTCCGTCTGACCCGCTGCCCATCACCCATCACGGCCTCTTGGCGCTCTCCGTTCCCACCCACCGTCTCCCAGGACCCGAGCGCAGGGCTCACTCTGCACTGGGAGGGGGGTGTCCTCCTCAGCTCTGGCCCTGCGGCTGGCAGCTGGCTCAGCACCCACACTCCTCCCAGTCACCCCCCAAACCTGCACTGTGCCTTCCCCCCAGGAGGCCCTGCGGCAGAGGGGGCAGCGGCCCGGGCCCATGCAGTGGGTCTCACCTGCTCACTAGGGCCCAGAGCCTGGCCTGGCTCCCCCCGCCCCCCCGCCCTGTCACCAGCGACACCTACTCCAGGGCCCTGGGCCCGTGAAGCGGGGAGAGCCAAGCAGGGATCTCGATGGGGAGAGGCTGGAGCTCTAGGACCCCCACTCACCCCCCATGTACACATACTCACCTCCATGTGCACACACTCACCCCCATGTGCACACACTCACCCCCATGTATACCATGCACTCACCCCCAGGTGCACACTCACCCCCAGGTGCACACTCACCCCCATGTACACATACTCACCCCCATGTGCACACACTCACCCCCATGTGCACACACTCACCCCCATGTATACCATGCACTCACCCCCAGGTGCACACTCACCCCCATGTGCACATACTCACCCCCAGATGCACACTCACCCCCATGTATACCACGCACTCACCCCCAGGTGCACACATTCATCCCCCATGCATGCACACACATTCACCCCCCTACATATGCACGCACACCAGACTCACATGCCTACACACACATGCATACATACACACACAGACACACACTCACCCCTTCACATGCACACACACAAGACGCTTCCTGACACACACACACCCCCTCACACACCGCGCCCCGGCCCACCTGGGCTCCTGCAGGTGCCGCGCCTCCCCTGAGCTGCCCCCTGCGGCCGCGATCATGGGGCTCGGAGCCCGGAGCAGAGGGGACACCAGAGCTGCCGTGGCTCCAGCCAGCCGAGAAGATCCCGTTACCGCCCAGGGGCCCGGCGAGCGGCCCGCGGCCCCGCCAGCCCGGGGAGGCCGTCGTGTGGGGCCTGCCGCTCCGGCGGCATCTGACCTCTAGGGTCAGGCGTGTGTCCGGGCAGCCCGGCTGGAGTACAGGGGTCGGGGCTGCCCCTCCTTCCAGCCGGAAAGGAGGGGGCGTGGACACCCCCAGTGGCCATGGGGAGGAGGGGCGCGCGAGAGGGAGCGGAGGAGGCTGGCCCGGACGACACCGTTCTGAAGGAGGAGAGGGGGTCCTGGGAGCCGGCGGCTGACCGCTCGCCCACCGCTGCCCTGGCCGGACCCACAGCGGGAGCCCGCCTGGTGCCCGAGGCCCTTCTGGGCCGAGCTGTGCTCCCACACGGCTCTGGGGTGCAGTTAGGATGTGGGGTGACGGGGCTGAGGGGTGGCTGTGTGGCCGCTGGGGTGGGGGCGCCCTGCTTGGGGCAGGCTGACCGTGGCCTCGAGCCCCAGGCAGCGGGGCAGGTGCCTGGCAGGTCGGTCACGGGTCCCATCCTGTAGATGCAGGGGCCGGCCACACAGAGCATGGCCTGGGGTGGCGATGACAGGCTAACACCCGAGGTGCCCGCATATACACGTGGGTGACCCCACGCATGTGGCCAGGACGGGGGCTCCGGCTGACGGCTCAGCTCACTCAGGGGCCAGTTCTGGGGGTTTCCAGCCGCCGTGGCCTGGGCTCCAGGCCCGAGTCACCGGCGAGGCCGCTCGGCTGTGCCTGCGTGGACCGGCCTCCGCGGGCCCTGAGCCTTCCGGGGCGTGGAGGGGGGCTGGCTGGTGTCCGAGCCTGACCGGGCCCTGTCCCCGGAGAGTGCGGGCCCTTTCCCACGCCCCCTGCACGTCTCCGCCCGCCGCCCTGGCCTCACGCTGGTTCCCAGCGGCTCCGAAGGGACCAGGCTGGCTTGGCGCCCGAGGAGTTTGGGGAGACCCTGCTCCAGCTCCGGGTGGGACCCCCTGCTGCCCCCTCGCCCACAGCCGGTCAGGCGGCCTCGGGTGGGAGTGAGGCTGGCGGGACCCGGGTCAGGCTGGCCGCCTGGGAAGGGCTCGGGCACCAGGTCATGGGTGCACTGAAGGCCCACGTCTTGGGCGAAAGGGGAGGCTGCCCCTCCACCCCCACCCGTCCCGCCCCCAGGACCGAAGTGTGCCCGCTGCCCAGCCTCCGTGCCCCCTGCCCCCCACCCGCTGAGGGCTCTTTGCCGTGTCCTCCCGGGAACCCTGTTGCTCTGCAGGGTCCTGCCCCAGGGGGAAGGGCGTGCCCTGCTCTGAGCGGGGTCTCACCTGGCTCCTTGTTGGGTCTGTGAGGGGCAGTGGTGCCCGGCTCTGGGGCACCCCCGGGGGCAGGGTCCAGCGCGGTCCCTCCTGCCGCCTGGAGAGGGGGTGCGGGGCGCCCAGTGTCCGGGCTGCACTGGCCCAGCCCCGGCCTGGCTCCGGCCTGGAAGCGCTGCTGCCGCCGCAGGCTGGCCCTCCTGGCCTCACCCGCCCGCCCCTCCAGGGCGGGAGCCGGGCCAGCTGGGCGCTGAGCTATAATTACTCTCCTCTCGGCAGAAATAGCAGCGACCCCAAGGGCAGGCCGCGGCCTGGGATCCGGAGGGGAGGCGGCCGCTTCCCAGGCCCGAGAGCACAGGCCGCCGTGGACACGGTGAGGGGTCAGGGCCCTCCCGCCCTCCGGCCGCCTGGCCGATTCCCAGCCCTGCAGCTCCTGGAAAACCCCATGGGCTGGGGCCAGAGGCAGGGGGTGTGCAGAGAGTGGGGTGATGTAGGGCCGGGCGGGGTGTGTGCAGAGAGTGGGGTGATGTGGGGCCGGGCGGAGGGTGGGCAGTAGGAGGGGGGTGACCACCCCAAAGTGGAGCCCCGGGTGGGAGGGGCCTGCCCGCCCAGCCCCACACCTGCAGCCTGGTCCCAGGGGTCGGGGAGGCCCCGGGGACCAGCAACGTGGCTGCTCCAGGAGGCAGCAGGCTGGGGGTCGTGGCCACCTCCACGTGTCACCCCGACCCCCCCAGCGCTGGCCCCGGGACCAGTCCACTGTCCTGTCTTCTGACCCAGGACCTGTTGGGCTGCAGGGCCTGGCAGGGGACAGGCGGGCACAGGGCCGGGAGCTGTGGGGTGTGTCACCGTAAGGGGGTTCGGGTGTGGGCACCTTTGAGGGTATTATTCTCTCCCCCAAGCTGCAGGGCAGCAGGTTTAGGGGTGCCCCGGGGGATGGGGAGCTGGTGTGCGCGTCTGGTTCACGGGGGCTCCAGGTGGGATATAACTTGGGGTCACCCTCTGTGGTGGTTGGAATGGTTCTCAGAGATGTCGCGGTCAAACCCGGGAAGCGGTGTCAGTTCACCTGGGAAAAGGGGCTTTGTCCCTGGCTGGTGTGGCTCAGTGGCTAGAGCATCGGCCAAAGAGACCGGGGTTTGATTCTGGTCACAGCACAGGCCCAGGTTGCGGGCTCTGTCCCCAGTGGGGGGCGTGCAGGAGGCAGCCGACCCATGATTCTCTCTCATCATTGATGTCTCTCTCTCTCCCTTCCTCTGAAATCTATAAAAACAGAAAGAAAAGAAACACAGAAAAGGGATTTTTTGTTGTGACTGAGGTGCGGCCCCTGGACGACCAGGGCGCCTGTGCCGCCGGGAGCGGGAGGCCTGCCCGGGAGGGGAGCGGCGAGGTGAGCGCAGGCGCAGAGTGGGAGCCGTGGGCACAGGACCCCGAAGCCAGGCGGGCACCTGCCCCGAGCGCGGGGGCTGCCCACGCGGCCGACGTCTCGGATCTGGACTCTTCAGAACCACGAGGGAACAGACTTCCGCTGTTCTGTTTTTCTTTTTAAAAATAAGTTTATTTTGAGCTTTTAGAGAGCGAGGAAGGGAGGAGGACACACAGAGAGAAACATCGATGAGAGGAACGTCGCCGATCGGCTGCCGCCTGCACGCCCCCCGCAGGGGATGGGGCCACAGCCCAGGCTGTGCCCTGACCTCGGGGCTCTGGGCGGACGCTTCACGGAGCCTCGCCAGGCGCTGTCTCCTGTGGCGCAGGACCCTGGTCGGCGGCACCTTCTGTGGCGCCTCCAGCAAGTGAACCGACCGGCCGTGGCCCGAGACGACGCTGAAACCGTGGGCTGCAGGAGTGACCCCTGGTGCCCAGGGGCCGAGCATGAGAGGCCCGAGAGAGTCCTGGGCCCTCCGGGGGGCAGGGGGAGGGGCAGAGCGGACCGCACAGGCCTGTGGGGTCCGGGGCCTGGGCGGGGTGCGGGGAGAAGGGAGAGAGCTGGGGGGGGGGGGGGCTGCTAGCCAAGAGGGAGCCGAGTGGAAGTCCCCAGTGGGCTTGGCCAGAGCGGCTCTGGGCTGGTGAGAGTAAAGCCAGAGGGTGGGGCTCAGGGGCGAAGGGGGGGGAGGAAGGTGCTGGTTGGAGGGGCTGAGGGTGGCCTGGGTAAGACCTGGGGAGCGGGCAGGGGGAGGGTTTCTATGAGGCGGGAACGGCCACAGTGAGGTGGTGAGTCCCCCATCACTGGAGGCGAGCAAGGGAGGGCGCCTGCTTTCGGGGACTCTATGAGGCGGGAACGGCCACAGTGAGGTGGTGAGTCCCCCATCACTGGAGGCGAGCAAGGGAGGGCGCCTGCTTTCGGGGCCCCGAGCACGCCTGGCCCCCAGGGCCCTGGGTCAGGGGCGGGGTTCCCTCGGGACGGGCGGGGAGCCTGTGGGCCAAAGCTGAAGTCCGGTGTCGGAGTGGCCACCCAAGGGGCCGGGAGCGGGGCAGCCATCCCCCGCGTCCAAGCTCCTGGGGGGTCACTTCCGGGCACTCTGGCCCATGGCAGGGGCAGCAGGAGGCCTGGCATCTGTGTCAGAGGGGTGGGGCGGGCAGCGGGAGGGACGCCGCCGGGTGAGGTGTCGGTGTCGGCTTCTGCGTCCCGGGTGCTCCTGGCGGGCAGCCACCGGGCAGGCGCTTCTGTTCTGGTTTTCAGACGCAGGTGGGTGCTGCCGCGGTCACAGCCGGGCGTGCAGGGCCCACGCGGATCCTACACGGGCACACATGCACACAGACCCACAGGCACACATGAACACAGACACACAGGCACAAGGCACACACACGGGCACACAGACACGCAGGCATACAAACATAGGCACACACGTGCACGGGCACACACATGCACATGGGCACACACATGTACACGGGCACACACGCACATGGGCACACATACACATGGGGGCACACGGGCACACATGCACACACACAGGCACACACATGCACACATGCACACAGGCACACACATGTACACGGGCACGAGCGCAGGGCACACGCGCACGCACGCACACATGCACACATACACATGGGGACACACGAGCACACATGCACACACATACACACATGCACACGGGCACACATGCACACACACATGCACAGGGCACACACATGCACATGGACACACGCACACGGGCACACATGCACACGGGCACACAGCCATGTACTCAGGCGTGGTTGGAACAAAGGCCTCTGGGAGGAGGTGCCCTTGGTCCCCTCTGGGATCCCCAGTCCTGAGCTCCGCCCCCTCCCCCGCCCGCGCCCCCCTCAGGCCAGCAGACACCCAGCGCCCGTCTGGGGAGGAGGCGCCCGCCGCGCTGTCTGCAGCCCACGGACCCGCCCACGCGCAGGGGCCGGAGGAGCTGGTGGCGGCTAATGAAGCGCTGGCCTCGGTGGGAGGTCCGCTGGGCTGGCCTCTACGGTCTCACCGCTTGGCCTCCACGGTCTCACCGCTTGGCCTCCACGGTCTCACCGCTTGGCCTCCACGGTCTCACCGCTTGGCCTCCACGGTCTCACGAGTGGGCGGAGCGGCTGTGAGCGCTCCGAGCGGCCAGGCGGTCAGGGCGGCGGAGGGGGGCGCGCTCTGTGCAGAGTGAAGAGGGGGGGCACCAGACCGAGCGCCTCCCAGAGCGTTATCATCGGGGCGAACGATTCAGGGCCAAACCCGAGCTCTCCTCGCAGAGCGTAGTTAGGTTCCGCAGCCCCTGCCCCCCCCCTCAGTGCTCCCATCCGGCTCCAGCGGGGGCGGACCGGCTGGTGGGGGTGGGGTGCTCCCCGAGACCTGCAGGACCTCCTGCTGAGGCGTTGGGGGCTGAGGGCTGGAGGGTGCGAAGCTGACCTCGGTGGGGACACCCGGCCCCCCCATCGCACAGCCCCGTCCGCTCACTGTCCCGGCACTGACCCCCGACAAGGGGAGTGGGGTCCAGGCGGCCGGCAGCTGCGGGCGGCCGGAGACGGTCGTCGAGGGACCTGGGGCTCTGGGGGCCGAGGGAGGTCACGGGGCTGTGACTGTCGGGGACCCCGGCGGCTCCTGAGGCCGGGAGCCGGGGCCGTGGCCTCCAGCGCGGACGGTGGCAGCCGCGCTCAGCCCACTAACGAGGCCGCCTCGAGCGTCCGGCAGTGATGACCGCCTCCAGGTGGCCTCCGGACAGTGCGCCCGTTTCACGAGCCGGAAACCGGGCGAAGGCAGGGGACGCTCCACGGCCACAGACGCTCCCACGGCCTCAGGCTCGTGGCACGCGGCTGGGATCTTGGGAAAACAGGACTCTGATTCCCAGGCCTGGGTGCTCCCAGGGTCTGATTTCTGGAACATTCCTGGTGCTGCGGGTGCTGCTGGTGCTGCTGGACCACGGAGGGGCCTGGAGCTCCCCAGCCCAGCCGGCCGAGGGCTGGCCCTGAGGGGTCCCGGCAGAGACCTGGTGCCCCCAGCACCTCCCCCCAGGCCTGCCAGCCGCAGCCCAGCCATGGCCCCGTGTGCTGGCCAGCAGGGCCTGCCCGTCCCTGGGTGGGGTGAAGAGGGGGGAGCCCGGACCCTGGCCGACCCCCCCGCCCGTTCCTGCAGATAAGGGAAGGCCCCCCTCCCAGGTTTGACGAAGGCCCTGGAACTCATTGTGGCCTCCTGGCCACTGCCCTGTGGTCCCCAAGCCTCGGCCAGGGCTGCTGGAGGCCTCCTCCTGACGGGACCCCAATGTGTGTCTGGGGGTGGGGGTGATCCACCAGGGCCGTGGGGCTGCTGCAGGGCCAGGAGCGCCCGCAACCACAGTGCCCAGTGGCTTTATGGGGACATGGCCGCTGAGTTATGGCCCCTGTAGCCCAGGGGCCGCCCGCTCTGCTCGGCGGTGAAAGGACCGTGTGTTCAACCTCGGCCTCGCCTGAGCCGGGGAGAGAGCAGCCAGTGTGGTGGCTCCCCACCCCTCTCCCCACAGGGGTGCTGCCGGCCGCCCCGCACCGTCCCCAGCGCTTGAAGTGGGATATTTGGATTCCAGGCAACTTGGGGAGAGTTGGCGACAGCACCGTGGGGGTGGGGGGCTGTGTTGCCTGGCCTGGTGCCCCTCCCGCCCAGCCCCCAGCCCCTGCCTGCAGCTGCCTCCACCGGAGCCTCGGCCTGCCTTCGAGTGGACCCCCCTTGCCGGGTCCCGCTTGGCAGGGGCTCGGGTGGGCGAGGCCCTGTGCCCGGCTGCACCCACCCAGCAGCTCAGCTCCGAGGAGCCCGGGGCTGCGGGCAGAGGCTGTGCGAACCGACGCTTCGTGTGCCGCTGGAGCAGAACGGGCAGCGTGGGGGGGACGCCGCAGCCCGTCCATCCCCCGAGTCTCCAGGAACAATTGGGGGTCCCACTGCCTCCCCGCT